TTGAACAACTTTTTTTCTAGATGTAAAAATTCCAGTCTCGGGTCTCATAAAGCTTTAATTAGTCACTTATAACTCATTAACCGATGAGTTATAACTCGTTAACTCAGACAGCGGTAGCAACTCAATAGCGCAACTCAACTCAGTGTTACCTAGACCTAAACTGGGCCTTAAGGCCGGTTCAGAAACAAAGTCAATTCAATGATGGGCGTTGACGCTAGGGGACGATTGACTACTTTTTAATATAGAGAATGCGTATGACAATAGATTTAAGTCAAAAATTTGTACAATAGGCCGGACGTTTTTTTTTCGGTGACTTTTTCCTTGGGTAAACATCTCTACGGAAGACACGAAAATGGAATACGAACATATTAAAAGTGGGAAGTTGGAACAGCCACTCTTGGAATTCAAAGGACCAGGAAGTTCTCATGGAAGTGCACTGATTCCGATTCCGTATGTATGTGCAATATGTGAAGGAAGAAAGATGGGGAACGTATCAACAAAATACAACAATTATTTTTATCACTTACAAAAGAAACAGATTTATATTGTTTAGGTATACGCACCCGACATTAGTAAACCCAAGATCAAACGGGAACAGTTTTACAATCAGCCAGAAGTCCTACTAAACACCATATAGCTRGAGACTTCAACGCTAGGATTGGCAATAAGGCCATCGACAGGATTACGCAAAGATTTAATGAAGACACTTGAAAGRAAAAAGTGAACTCCCTCTAGGAACTTGCAGTCAATTTGAACCGCGAATAAATCTCACATTTTATCCGCACAAGATAACGTGGTTYAACTCTGGAGATAAACAGTKYACTATAGACTACATCATAACCAATAGAAACATGCCTGTCCGGGCATGGCAGGTGGACACAGACTGGTGCTATGTAAAGTGAGACTAGCAGTGCATCTAATCCGTAAAAGACCACCAGTAATCCGTGAAAAATTCATCATAGAATCCTTCGACAACGACAGCACCAAGGACGTATACAAATCACAGTTAAAAGAAAGGATAACAGCTGGGAATACAATCGATACGGCGTGGTCTAAATTCAAAATTAACATCATGAACGTGAACGTGAACGCAAAAGCCAACGAATCATGGTTTACTCCAGAAATAAAACCTTCGCTGCAGAGAAAAGAGCAGCCTACACCAATCTCAGCAACAAAACAGATGAACAACGTTAGCAATACAAACAAAGCGGCAAATGAAAAAAAGCTATTGGGAAAAGTTCTCCATCCGATATGCAACATGACCTGTACGGAACACAACGGAGAATATGGAACCCCATCAGATAGCAGGAGAAACCAGTGAACGAACAAGTCGCAGTCAATATTACCGCTGAGGAGTGGACAAACCACCTCAAGAATATGTACAACACTGAAGAACAAGCGGACCTATGGGCCATGCCCAACAACATCATAAACCAAACAACAATAAATAAATTGAAGAACAGAAAATCATGGGCCCAGATAAAATAACAAACAAAATGCTCAAATATTGAGGCGATGAGCTGATGATTGAACGATCACACCTTAACAATACGATCATGTCTTTAGGCGAAGTACCAGAGGAATTGAAATCTAGCATTACAATCCCTATCTGCATGAAGGTAGAAAACAAAGACCCAATAAACATAGAAGCATCAGCCTGCTCAACACCGCCATGAAGCTGCTCACCAAAATAATAACCCAACATCTCCAACATCTAATAAGCCAAAACAAAACCAACAACAGTACAAGAATACACTCAGGGAACTCCACCACAGAGGAAATGCAGATATCGATAGGTACCAGGCAAGGAGATGGCTTGACTCCGATACTCTTCAATCTGGTAATGGGCCGCATCATAAACCGGGTGAGAAGGCTAGGACAAGGTTACAAAATGGGACACATCGAATTCAAATTATTGTGCTATGTAGACGATGGGGGTCCTCAAAGCAGAGAATCAGAACAACCTGCAGCGAATGCTACTCGAGCTGAACGAGGCCGCACAGAAATATAACATAAGCATCTCGATACCGAAAACCAAATCTATGGCCATACGCTGAACGACCAACTGATCCACCAAGCGATGAGCTTTGAATACCTGGGGATAATACCTTCAAGCAGCCGAAACACATATGATAAGGTGAAAACACAAGTGAATAAAGCAGCTAGAGTATCTGGCTGACTACACAGTACTATCTAGAAAAACAATCACATGTAGATAACCAGCAAGGCCAGGATTGATCTGCAGAAAAGCAGTGAGGCGCAGCGGACACGAGAGCACACACCAACCGGACGAAAAGAGTACCCACGGCGAACGACCGAAATGAGAGCCCTACGAGCGATCGTAGGCGTGACACTTAGGGACAGGTGGTGAAGTAATGAGATCCGGGAGCGATATGATGGGATGCCGTATGGTACCGTTAGATGGTYACTGGGAATAAGAAGAAAGTTAAGAGAGCATGTCGACAGGATGGGAAACAGACTAGCCAAAGCCTTGTATGCGACCTTAGAGAGACCGAAGAGGAMCCTTAGGAAGACCACCAAAAAGTCGGGCTGACTGCTGGACTCCATCAGTCACAGGACATCCAATAAAAGGTKAGAAAAAAACACAGGGCATAGTCCTATCAAAATGATGATGATTATAAAAAGWGAAAATCTCTTGGACTTTTAAATTCTATTTATTACGTGCCTCAAAGGTGTTCATTTGCTTGCAAAATTGGTCTSAATTTAGGATTTCCATTTTTCTAGCTATTTTTCTTACGTATTTTGAGCTGCTGAATCGAATGGTACCATCAGTTTTCCGTGTCGTCAAAAAATATTTACAGCYAAAAATCCTCGAAAAATAAGTGAAAAAGGGCAATTAATAACGATTTCGAGCGGCTGAATCCAGTGCGATCAGAAAATGTATAAGCAAAAAACTTGCAAAATGGGTGAAAAAAGCAGATCATTTTCTTGCAACCCCGAAAACCAATTAAAACTCGGTAATTTTTGCTTTTCCATATGTTTTCTATGTATTTTGAGCTGCTGGGACGAATGGTGCCTACCCTCTGTCTCTTACAGTCTATATAGGCATGGGCGGCAAAACGTTCCTAGCAGAAATTCTCCAAAAACTCGAAAATCGAAAGAAGAGTCATGTTGCCGGAACAGCACTATATCCAACTATATCTAAGCCACAATAATCAGCTGGAAAGTAAATKAGTTTTTCACGTAAAAATATATCCCAAGMGTTCAGATTTTTGTTTGCAAAACCAACAAGTTAAAGCAGCTTAAAAAGCTGAAGCCACTTGGTTTGGTCGCAAGAAATTGTGATTGAGATAATTTAAAAATTGCCAACAAGAACAAGGAAAGAGCAGAAGAACACTGTGAAAACCGTTTTAGATGACAATAAAGAAAAATATTTGTTGAGTGTGCAAGTTCTTCAAAAATTGTAAAACACACCGGCTGACATCGAGGGAGTTTTTTCTGTACTAAAAAAAGCCAACTGGTTCATTGGAACCGAAAAACTGTTCATTTGATCGTTAAAAGTCAATATAAAAAGCCCAGATAAAAAATCATAAAGCACACTTAAGAAAGCACAAACTTAGAAAGATGTAACGAGAATCGAACGAATCGAACTGTTTATTCACTTTCTCTAAACATTCTTCCAAAATATCGTCGTTTGATGTTAACAAATAATGAGATAAAATCAGAGTGGAATGTATTTGTATCGAGTAAAAATCGAATAAAATCGATAGAATTGAGAATCGAAATTTAAAAAAATGTTTGAAAAAATAATATAGCAAGACGTTAAAGAGCCACAAAAATTGGCAAAGTGGACAATACGAATCTACTTGTTATTTAAAAGGTATTGAAGTAATTGAAAATGTAATAGAGAAAAAACCGATTGAGTTTAATGCAAATGTGTAGTGATTTTGAACAAGAAATGTCTTCTAAATGGGGATACAGGCAGAGCTGAATATGAAAGAAACAGGCCTTGATAAATAAGAATCTTTTTTTCGATTAAAAAAAACTTCAATTTGTTTAGTGCAATCGGTGCAAAATGTTCAAATCGTTCGTAAAAACCCTTATAAAACATCGCAAAGCAAATGTACATAACACAAGCTTACAGGAAAAATAACCAAAAACTACTGCGTTTTCAAAACGAAATCGACGAAGATTAAATAACAAACTGAAAAAAAAAAATAGTTAAATTAAAACTTAAAAAATTATTAATTGGATATCAATAAAAATAACAATGCAAAAATTTGCACCGTGATCTGTTCTGAATTATAAAATTATTAATTTAAAAACATTGAACCAAAGAACAGATCAACAAATAAAAAAATCGAGTCAAAAAGATCCCAATGAAAAAACGTCCTGGACGAAGCAGCACTTGAACATGAAAAAGGTTCAAATTGTTTGTAAAAATCCTAAGTAAGAAATCAGAAATACGTAGATAGAAAATAATCACGCCAGCACGCTGGACTCAGCAGGTCAAAACACCTGCAAAACTGAATTGCAAACAAAATTGAATAATGGTGGTCGTCACAGGGCAATTTATTGCAGTTTTTCACTCATTTTTCGAGTTCCTAGGATTTTTGGCTGAAAATATGTTTTGACGACACGAAAAAATGATGGTGCCATACGATTCAGTAGCTGAAAATACGTAAGAACATAGAACTTGAAGGAAAACAAATTAACACCTTTTCCCATATAAAATCTATAGAGAAATGCAGATGTTTCGAGGCACGTGATCAATCGATATCAAAAGTTCAATGCAATTTTTCTCAGAGTTTTTAGAGCCTATAGAAGAGACTTTCACCCGTGGAGAAAGTCCCCGAAGAAATGAAACTAAGGTTCGAACATTATAAAATTAATGAATAACACTTCAGGCAGACTTCGCTTTACAAGTTTGCGAAAACCCCACAATTTAAATATTAAAAGATAGTAAAATTGTGATGAACAGGTTCTTCTGATCAACGAACTTGGTGCCGCTGGAACTTGAAAAGACAATTTTAAATGCCCTAAAGAAATATTTCCAACACTGCTAAGAGGTTATTTATTGATAAACCTTAATTATTGAAAATTGAATTAAAGTAAAAAAAATAAATTTTAAAGTTAACTCGTCAGCCATCCCTAGTTTAACTTCCACTTGCACTTGAAGCTTTCAGAGAAAAATATGACAGGAAAAAAAAGGACGCAAACAAAATTATAAAAGTTCAAAGAAAATCACCCAGTAACCCTACATGGACTTATATTTGTGAAAATAACTCGAAAACTAAGACAGATCCGAAAAAACTGCAAGTGATCAGAAAATTCTCAAATTGGACAATAAATGCAAAAATGTGTTCGGTCGAAGTCAGTGGCGTAGCGCAAAAAAGCTCCTGCGGGTAAAAGGGGATATGCCTCTAGAAAAAAGAACACCCTGTAGATTTTCACAACCAGTCGCCTTACCTACACGCTCCTGCTTTGGGTACATAAGGTTGTGAATCACCCTGTATAATCAAAATCTGCTGCAGGCACACGTAAAAGATTATTGTCAAATCCAGGATCCTCATGTCGTAATTATTTCATTAATTGTTCAGCACGTAGTTCAGTTGTTCTCGCTATCCACTCGCGCACCCATATTTTCCTTTTTTTAGCAAGTCTTCGTCTTTTTATAGTTGAAAGCACAATTAGAGCAGCAGCAAGTTTTCTCGACATTTTCAAACCGAAAGTGATCGACTGAAACGAGTACGGAAAAGTCTGTGGAGATAGAAAATTGTTGCGCTGCTATAAAGTAAATTCAGGTTTTTGCCACGACAAGCTTTTGCTGATAGGTTGTGTCTAAACACAGCCTGTTTGATAAAGTTCCATCGCCTTCTCCATCGATTTTTTTAAATTTAAAGTGCGTTTCACACGCATACGTTGTGCCTGAACCGCTCTAACCCCAGTTGCATTACCTTCCAATAATTCAAAACGAGTTCCGCTACACGTTTGTCAAAGCTCGTAATATCCCATCCAACATTATAGTGTAATCGTGCTATGTGGGTTGCTAATTTGTCTCTCAATAGCTCTGAGATGTCTGATCTTAACCGTAGACCGGCACTGATCTGTTTCCAAACATCTCTGATGATATTGAACACCCTTGAAGCTTTTGCCACAGTGATCATGTTGCGAATGTACGCTGCTTCAGCAACCTTGGGAAAACTGCATAGGAAAATGGATTAATTCAACAAAATGAAGCTGGAAGTCAATATTGCACACTTACTAATATTGCGATTCTTTGAAGCAAAATTGATTTTCGGAAAGCTTCAGATACTCAGGCTCCGGCTTAGCTTGAGCCAGTATTTGGCTGCAATCGCGTCACAGCCAACCTGACAAATATGGACATTCCTTCAGGATAATTGTGGCCACCGCGAATAACCTCCAAGTACTGAAAATTAATCGCATTCTACTCACAATTCCAAAGAAACCCATTAACTGTCAGAAAATGGGTTGAATTGTAGCCACCGACAATTTTTATATGAATCATAACTGATAAGTAATATACAGGGTGTTCAGAAAATGCGTTAGAAAATTTTTAAGGTCGATTCTACATGCTAAAATAATGATGGAAAGTCGTTCCACCATTATTACCATTATTCCGTCGGAGTTAATTCACTATCTATTCCCATAAAGTGTTGAGCAAGCGGATCATACAGGGTGGTTTTTTAGTGCGATGGAGTCCTTATTTTCGATGGTGTTGAAATTTCGAAGAATAGTTATTGTAATTGTTGATGCATAAAGTGCGGACATTTTAAAAAAATCGACAATTAAATTGCGAGGCAAAACCAAAGTGTATTTTTTAAATAGAATTACCCATTATTTATTAGCTCAAGGAATGGAGCTTGAAACGCTGCATATGCAATGTAAATTTGTTTTTTTATTACTTGCGACGTTGGCAGATTATCCCCATTATAGTAAAATTTTGTTTAAAAACATGGTATCTAAAAATTCATTGTAGAAGCAAAAAAAAGCAGTTTAAGATACAGAAAGAAATATGTCTTTTTAATTACCACACGTCCGTTAAGAATCCTATTGAACCAAAATGCAGGGTGTTAACAATATTGACTTCAATCTAAAACTTTTTAACGCAATATAACTTTTGTTTTTCAAATGGAAGTACCTGTATATTAATGCGTCATTAGATAGACAATTTACAAAGTTACCAATTTGCAATTACACTTTAAGCTGTGAAATCAACCGTTTTCAAATTATAAATTATTTTGCTTAAAAATTTCAAAAAGCTGTTACATTTTCTAAGATGGCTATGGAATTAAATTAAATACATGTCAAAATTTGACGATACTTGACATACTCAATGAAGAAAAGTGCAACGTTTTATAAATGGCATGGAATTTCATAGCAAAAAATGTAATAAAACTGCATACGTCTATAAAAATAAAAATATAAAATTATACTTATAGTGATATTTTAAAATAAATGTTCAATATGATTTCTGTTAACATTTAATCAACTATTACTACCTGCGTTTTTGAAATGAATCGCTAATGCAGTTCAAAACAATATTATTAATGGACTATGATGACTTTCACGGCCGGTCAAATCACATTAAGAAGTGTTTTCCAGGCTTCGAAGCCGTGGACCATGGGAACTTCTTCCTGATGGTTTGTCCACAAGTGCGGTGGACATTATCAAAGGCGATGAGGCAGGCAGTGGGCGAAGTGATCTCCCGTGCTTGCCGACTAAGACTGGTTCAACTACTGAATCCCCTGTCGTATTTATACAACGCGACCGTGTGAGCTCATGCTTCAAATGTGTTGGCGCACACGCTGTTTGCCCCAAAACGGGTTTCCAAACTGGATTAAGGGCTGTTACCGACGACCTTCTTTCCTATTAAAATTGTTGTAATGTTTAAAGACCTCAATGGCCTATCTGGTTAGTCTCAGATAATACCGTTGAGATTGGTGCAAAATGTCCACTTCGTCGAAACGTATTTGGTGGCCGTCTAGCAGTGCGTGCTCCGCTACTGCTGATTTTTCTGTTTGTCCTAATCTGCAACTTCTTCCATGTTTCCGTGATCCTAGTATTTATACTACGTTTTGTGGTGCCGATGTATACTCTGCCACAACTACATGGAACTCTGTAGACTCCTGGTGCTGATAACGGATCCCGTTTGTCCTTGGGTGATCTCAAAGTCTGTTGGATTGTTCGAGTTGGTTTAAAAACGGTTTTAACTTTATGTTTCTCCAGTATCCTGCCGATCCTGTCCGTGACTCCAAGTATGTATGAGAGGCAACCCCAACGCTTACGCTCATCATGCGTATTTGTTTTCTCCGGACAATCTCCATTGTTTCTTGGTCGAATTGCTCTGTTGAACTCGTTCTTGCTGTATCCATTCCAACCAAAGGTTCTTTCTAGATGTTCCAATTCTCTTTATAGCTCAGCTGGTTCAAAAATTCTTCTGGGTCTTTCGGTGAGGGTTTTAATGGCTCCTCTCTTTTGACTGGGATGATGGTTTGATCCACTATGCAGGTACCGGTCGGTATGTGTCGGTTTTCTGTACACCATGTAGGCCAGCTTTCTTTTGGTTTTTCTGGTTACCAACATATCTAAAATGGCAGTCGCCCATCCTTCTCCACTTCCATCTCTCTATGAACTCTATTTTTGGGTTTATTGAGTTGAGATGCCTCAAGAAGCCCCGCCCTCTCCCCACGCATGAACTCACACGACCGCGCTGCATAAATACGACAGGGGATCCAGTAGTTGAACCAGTGATCGAACCTCAAAAGCATCCCCAAACAAATATCAGGCACATTCCTCAGTGCAAGAGGTGCCAAAAATTCGGCCACACAATGGCAAACTGCATGGCAAAACCCTTCTGCCACAAATGCGCCCAACATCACTTCTATACAGAACGCAACAAGCCGAGAGACGTCCCGGCTAAATGCATCAACTGCGAGGGTCCCCATCCGGCAAGCTACTTCTCTTGTTGCCCCAAAAACCCAAACTTCCTTGCCCTAAAGCAACAAAAAGCAAAAACAGCCAGCTTTCAAAACAAAGTTTCGCCTGGCATTTCCTACGCCGCCAAAGCTTCCGAAGCCCAGGCTCAAGCACCCCCAACTTCAAGATGCCCAAAAAGCCCCCCGTAAACCCCAAAACGCCCCGCCCCGTGCCCCACAGAACACAAATTTAACCCCGCTTTAATGCAACTCCTGCTCATGCCAGGCGAAAATAAATAAAATTGCTGCCATGATTGGCAATTGCCCGGCTCTTCAAGCACTGGCATGAATAATAAACCAGCCGACGTACACATTGTTTCCTGGAACGCCAACTCTTTGTACCCCAAAAGGTAGGAATTTGAAGGCTACCTCCGAGAAAACGATGTGGACATCGCGTTAATCCAGGAGATTTTTCTGCAAACACAAACGTTCTTCCAAATTGATAATTGTAAAATCTACCGTAACGACCGCCCCAACAGTCGAAGGGGCGGCACTGCCATTATTGTCAAAAAGTCCATTTCCCATTTCCCATTCCCCAAACCACCCCATCGCCAACACCTCAATCACACGTCGGTCACCCTAAACATGGAAAACTCCCAGATCCTCATTATTTCGGCCTACACACCACCCAAAACACGTACAACCGAACTCGATTACACGAACCTTCTCAATCGAAACATTCCGACATTACTCGCTGGAGATTTGAACTCCAAAAACACTTCCTGGGGCTGCAGGAAAACAAACCCCGAGGGGCGCAAGCTCCTCAACTACGCACAAGACTTACAATTCGAAATGTATGCTCCCTCAGAGCCAACACACTATGACCACAATACCCCCGACATTCTCGACATTGCCATCTCTAAAGACATCTACCACATCCTCCACGTTACAAACTTCGATTCCCTAAGTTCTGACCACAACCCTATCATAATCGACATTAACGAACAGTACACTAACAACCCCTTAGCCCCAATTTCTTACACAGACTGGGACGCCCTCGCATACTACCTTGGAGAGGCTCAAATCACTGTCCACCTTCCGCAAAATTTGCAAGACCTAAACAACTTAACAGCCCAAATCACAGAAACCATCACCTCAGCACTCTCAAAAGCCACAATCCTAACGCCAAATTCGAACAAAAACCCTTTCTCTCTGCCGCCTGAGCTCAAAACTCTTATCAAAAATCGTAACTGGGTAAAACGAAGGGCTAAACAATTCACCGACTCAGAGCTTAACAAACAGGCAAACAAACTAAGCAAGGAAATCAAAATTCAGATCTCAAACCTACGAAACGAAAGGTGGACAGAACTTTTGGAAAACCTCCCAACGGGCGACCCGCGCGCCTGGAAAATCTCCAAGGCTATGCGAGGGAAAACAAAAACGCACTTTCCCCCTATACATGGTGAGCGAGGGGTGGTCTATTTAGACGAAGAAAAAGCTGAAGCTTTTGCGGACTCCCTAGAACGCCAGATCTCGTCCAACATTTCCGAAAACGACAACCTAAATTTCGAGGAGGAGGTCGACAGCGTCCTCAGCGAAATCGAAGACAATCAAATCCCCCCTGACGCCCCTGAAATCCCCCTCGTAACACCGGCACAAGTCCCGGTCCCGACTAAATAACCAACAAAATCCTCAAACGACTCCCGGAAAATATCCTCAATCGCATCCTCACCCTCATCAGTGCGTCCTTTTCGCTACGGAAATTCCCAACCCCTTGGAAAACCGCCTCCGTAGTATTAATCCCCAAACCCAACAAAAACAAAACCTTTCCTCAAAACTGGAGACCCATCAGACTCCTTCCCACTATTTCCAAACTAACAGGAAAACTCTTTCTCGACCGCCTCGAAAAACTAATTTCAGAAAACCATTTAATCCCTCGAGAGCAGTGCGGATTCATGCAAAAACATGACTCCGTAATGCAAGCAGCCAGGCTAATTCAAGATGCCACGATTGCTTGCCAGAACAGATGCTCCACTGGAGTCGTCTATCTGGACATAGAAAAAGCTTTCGATAAAGTATGGCACGAGGGGCTAATTTGGAAGCTCCTTCACACTCACAAACTTCCATTAGCCTTTGTTCAGTGGGTGGCAAGCTACCTCCACAAGAGGAAGTTTTTCACTCTACTGAACAAAATCAAATCCTCTACCCGTGACATTGAAGCGAGAGTCCCCCAGGGCTCCCCTCTTGCACCAATTCTTTACAATCTCTACACCGCTGATGCTCCAAAAAATCCCCCCACCAACCTAGCACTATTCGTCGACGATACTTGCTTTTACTATTCCAACCGGAATATTAAATACGTAATTGGCCCCCTCCAACGGCACTTAAACATTTTTCAAGAGTGGGCTGACACCTGGAAAATCAAAATTAAGTCAGGAAAAACCAAAGCCATGATAATTTCGAAACAAAGACCTCCCACTAACACACCCAAACTAATGCTCAACAACACC